AATATATAGGGTAGTTCATTTAGAAAAACACACCTTTGATACTTTTAGGGCTTATGGGACACTCTGTACATTACAAAAATATTTTTAAACTGTGCCCCCGATAGGCGTCTGTGGATTCATCAAATAGTAGTTTGCAAAAAACAAACGGGGTAACCGCAAACGTCCGTGCCGTATAGCGTGAATAACCCTGTACATCCTCCCTAAATACACGGCTTATTTTTTGCTAGGGTGAACATAGTGCGCCATTTAAAAACCCACATGAAAGGCGACACGACGATACACAAGTGCCCCGACTGTGACTTTCAAACCATCCACAAGACGAATTTCAACACTCACGTGTTGAGGCACAAAGACCCGGGCAAAATCAAGTTCTTCCAATGCCAAGTGGGTAGCGCAACGCGCCCACTCACACTGTCTAATCAACCAGAATTTCCAGCACTGCGCCCACAAGACGTTCTACAAGGCCAGCCTGCGCAACCACCTGAAGCTCCACATGAAGAAGGAGGAAATCGAGACGTACAAGTGCGATTTGTGCACGTTTGATACAATCTACGAGCGCAGCCTCAAGTTGCACGTGCTCTACATGCACAATGGCAACCACCAGGCCATCGAGTACTTTAAGTGCCACTTTTGCAACTTTGAGACGCGCTATCGCGAGAACTGGCGCCGGCATGAAAAGGGCCACCTCAAGCCTGGTGAGTACCCGACCCAATCCGTCCGAACGGTTGATAAATTATCGAGTTTTGCACAGGCAAGCGCGAGTCGTACAACTGCCCCAACTGCAGCTTTTCCACGATCCAGCAGGGGAGATTTGAACGCCACTTGCGAACGCATGCCAGCCCAGAACAGCTGCTGGCGATGGACGAACGTCCGCAGCAAAAGAGCAACGGCAGAAAGCGGGCTGTTATCGACACCCCCGTAGTAGATAATTTCAAGGCTCAAACCCGCACCAATGGCGGTTGCGAAGAGCCAAAGTTCCCATGCAACTATTGTGCCTACAAAGCTCTGACGCGTCAACTGCTAGACGTGCACTTGGCCGCCCATCAAGCGCCCAGCTGCGCCCAAGACTGTAAAAAGGCGTTCGTTTGCGAGCGCTGCTCGTTTAAAACGACGCACCGAAGCTCGATGAGGAGGCACAGGGAGACGCATTTGAGGCCGAGCGAGCGAAAGGAGTTTAAGTGCCCCACTTGCGTGTTCCGGTCGTATACAAGGGCCAGAGTAAACAGGCACAAATGCCCCAATCGGGACGTGCTGGGAGCAGGCGAATGAGCACAGCAACATTCCAAAGACTCGACTGGCAATGAAACTAGTCTTAGTTTGATGTATCCTTTGGACGGCAGGTTTACGCTGCTTCGTTTTGTAGTGGATTCTAGAGCGTTTAACACTACGTTAGTGTAACGCATTCTGTTTTGTACTCATTCTTTTCACTTGCGTGGATGATTTCGTGATATTTATGTGAAATAAATCAGCGTTCAGTTGTTGGTTATTTAAAACGCTTTTCTATTTGGAGAAAGGAACACGCCCAGATA